ACTCTCCCCTGTGTGGAGCACTCTCCTCTGTGTGGAGCACTCTCCTCATGCAGAGGTATAGTTACAGGCTAATTGTGAAGGGCTCAGCGTGGTGCCCATCCACAAGAGGTCCTGGGGTGGGAAGTAGCCTCATTACCAAGCGAGACTAGAATCAGTTGTGACATATGAACCTGATTCGGGGATTGATCAATGCTGTAAAGTTTCAGGAGCTAGACCTGGTGACATCCAGGTAATGAAGACTGTCAAGCCACCGCTGGTCCCACTCCCCTTGCAGGACATCACAGTGACAGATTATGAAATCAGCCTTTCAACATATGAATGGATAAAGAAAATAGAGCATATTTATAAGATATACGTGTGTGCTGTTGTCACAAACAAAATTGACACTGTGTCCCCTTTCAACACATACCTTTGTTGGGGGCTTAGCCCTCTCATACCAGTCTAGACTCAGGCCCCAACATCCCTAGAATATTTTTATGTGGCCCTGGAAAAACCTGCCTGTCCTAGAGTTGAGGATCCACAAGTCCTGGATCTCCTAGGGCCCAAGTGGCTAACGAAGGGAAGGTTGTCGTGAGATGGTCGTGTGGTCCCAGGAGACACCAGCCTTCAACACTGAACCTGGATGGCACTCCAAGACCAGAGAATGACAGGAGATGTGGGACAACTCATGACTGAAGTGCCATTCAGCCAACCAGACACTGGGTACTCTCAGTTGTCCCTCCCTGTGAGACCCCCAGGGATTTCTCAACTCCTTAGGCTTTCAAATGCTTCATGACCTCACAGAGAGCTACAGGGGTGCCCCACTAACACAAAACACCCAGGCTGGTAGTGACAGTCGGGTGACTTGTGCCTGGAAGCTTGCTTTGAAGGTGCCAGAGTTAGGAAGGTTCTTGGCAACAGAGGGTGGTGATCTTGACTTCAAGTTTGCTTCACTGAAATTACACCAAGGATTTGGGGGCTCCGGGTGCCTTGTGACTGGTTCACTGGACTTTTAGAGGCATGGTTAGAGACGACTCAGGAATGTGTTTTATTATCAAAACATGGAGTCTGGAAACAAACTAAACCTACTTCTTATTCAAATATACAAAATGTGTCCTCGAAATTGTTCAGATAACACCACAGGAAGGCGGTATTCTCTTCAACTAAGGGCAAAGTGACCCTCAGCATGGAAGGCTTAGGGAATGACTAGGCACCTTCCAGAAACGGAAGAGTTAAAAGCTGGACCCGTGGGCCCAGAGGGAGGCAAGAGTGTGTCTATCCCCAGACCTATAAATTCAAGCAGAGCATCTTAGAGAGAGAGAGGTCTTCCCAGGCAAACTATGCCGAGCTCAACGGGAGAATGTTGGGCTCGGTCTCCAAAATACAGGTACACTGGCGTCATCCCCGAGGATACAGCATAGTGTCCTCCAAGACTGAGGGAATGAATGGCTTCACATGAAGAAATCTGAAGTCCATTAGGCTTGGGAATGTTGGGGCTAGACAGAAGCTGGTGGATTTTATTGTACCAGCCCTCTTACGGTGTGGCTGGCTGAGTTGACACTCAGGCAGGAGTTATGACGCCAGAGTCTCACCATACAGACTTACACCTCTGAGGTACCCTCCTCCTGTGGTAATTCATTGTCATTATCAACTTGGCTGGGCTCGGAGTCGCCTAGAAGGCAGAACTTCAAGTATGTCCATAAGGGTGTTTGTGTAGACGACTGACTGAGGGAGACCCACTGCAAATGTGGGGGCCAGCATCCCATGGGCTGAGACTTTGTACTGAACGGAAAGGGGGAAGAGATTGAAGCAACGTTGATCTCTCTGCTTCCTGGCTGAGGATACGGTGTGAACGACTGCCTCACTGTCCTGCCACCATGCATTGCCTACTGTGATAGACCGTAGCCTCAAACCAGGAGCCCAGATAAACCACCATCTACCCACCTTCTTTCCTTCCTTCCTTCTTTCCTTCCTTCCTTCCTTCCTACAAAGTTGTTTTTTGCCAGGTAGTTTTTCACAGCAACAGTAAACTACCTTGACACACTTTCTTAGTTTGTCTCTTCAGCCAGCTTGAACAACCTGCCTGCAGCCACCTCAGCAGGAGCCTCAGATGCACCAGAGAAGCAATCCACAGGAACCTGCTGCTCACTATCATGGAGCAGTGAGCTGCCTGTCTTGAGTCCACACTGCCTCAGTGAATATATGCTGCTCTTTAGGCTCCGTCCATGCTGTAATTCTCTGGAGACATAGCAGGAACTGGAGAGGCTCAAAGTGTCCATTGTCCCCTCCCACACCCACACTCGACTCCCACCTCATTGGCCGGAATCTCAGAATGACCTAATACAGCAGCAGGCACTAGTGGTGGTGGTGGTGGTGGTGATGGTTCTGAGCTGCAGCCATTGCTGGAGAATATAAAGGCTGCACCTTGCTGAGGCGCCCTGTAGACATCTCCTGAGACTGAGCAGAGCCCCCAGAGGAAGTGGCCTGGGGAGCTAAGGATCTGCACAGACTCTGAGGTTTGTGGACTCCTGGTGCTGGAAATGTCTGTAGAAAGGCTCCTGGCAGGTACAGTGGCCACCTCAGGTTTGATTTTGAGTGGAGAAAGACCAGGCTGAAGCAGAAAACAAAAAAGGTAGTAAGGAAAGAGGCAAATCCCAGGAGAGTTCACCCAGCTGGGCAAGTTTGTCCAGTGGGGTCCAAGATGGAATGGCAATCAGTTTCTGTGCTAGGTACTCCCATCATGACATGGGACAGGAACCTCTGGTGACAACGGGAGATAAGTTTTAAGTCACTTCCTATCTCAGTCTGTGATAAAACATGGGACACTTTCCCACTGTGTTGTAGAATTGGTCCAGACACATGTGTGGATACAGGGGAGTGGCTGTGTCAGAGTAATACTGCTGATGTGGTGGTTCATCTTCATCTTCCTAACTCTATACTGACAACATGTGGTCTATCTCCATCCCAGCCCCCACTCCACCCTGATGCCATAAGGTTTGCCCCTTCTCCAACTCCCCACTCCACCCTGATGCCAT